AAGTGTGTTCTATGATATTTGAGGATAATAATGAAGGAGGCAATGAAGGAGGTGATGATAATGACGATGATTTATTGAATTTTGATGATAGTATTTTCGGATTTGAATCAAATGTAATAATAAATTTCCGTTTAATAAGTAATATTGCGATCGATAAATAAAAAATGAAAATTTTTTTTTTATATAAAATTTTATATTAAAAATTTATATTATGATTAATTAACCGGTTAATTAACCAAATCTTAATTAACCGTTTAATTTCCCATCCCTACTCTTCATATACTTTGAATGAAACAAAACATATAGCCAAAATAGGAAAAAAAAAATTTTTTATTCAAATACAATTAAGTTACATTAATAAGTTATTATTATTATTTTTTGATTAAGACAACTTTTGCCATAACCAATATCCAATTGTTCTAGCAATTTCGGCCGCAAATTGTAATTCAATTCCAAAACTACTTCTTACATCACGACAGACCGCATTCACCACAAGTTTGCCATCACCACCATTATTATTATTAGTACTTTCATTGTCATCTTGTTTATAATAAGGTAAAATAAAATGTAAAAGTGAATCGTGAATATGGGTATTAAAAATGATTAAATGACGATTATGGTTTCCTTCATCATACAATTCTCTCGATAATTCATGATAATAATGTGATAGAAAATTTAACAATTCAGTCCAATTTAAATTCATATCAAGGAAATCTTTAAATTCTGGATAGATCGTGACAAGTTCACGACTATACCACTGATTTGTCAGCTCAAGAAAATCTTGAATGGTTATTGCGCCATCGTTCGAACTATTACCAACAACATTGTTATTTGTCTTGACATTATGCAACTCACGCCATAATGAATCACGTCGATGATATTGAATCGCCTATAATATCAATTCGAAAATAAAAAAATTATGTATATTGAAATTTTTATTATATTTTTTTTTTTTTAAAAAATTAAAATACCTGCGAAATTATAGAATCAAGCTTCTTTCGGGTAAGGCTTTTTATTTCATCTTGAATGTCTAGATCTGTAGGTTGACGGTTATGATTATGTGATTCGGAAGAACCTACAGTATTTTCAGCTTCAATTGACGTTTCATTAACATCATTATGTAAAACAACGACAAAATATTCCAAAGAGATATTCCTAGCGACATTCTTATCAGATTGATTTTCTTCAGTGAAGATTATTGTACTATAGGATGCTTCGTTATCACATGATATTTTATTCGGCTGCTCGGAATCGGTCTCGGTCGAGGAGAAAGTTTCATTCGCTTCACTTAAAGTGGCAAAACAAGCGATTGGTTTACCTTCGTACGAGATCGGACAAAATCCATACCTTTGGGGATTTTTTACAATGTATTCAAATAAATCAATCGGTATGGATGGTAACTCTTTGCTAACAATACCGTGGTAAATACGATGAACTGCATAGTGCGCAGGCCGAGAATGTCGACGAATGAAAGCTCTAAGCACTTCTATTACATTAAAAGGAGGTGGGCGTCGTAGTTGACCTTCCAAGACATGGTTGATGTATTGTAAATGGAAATCGTAAACAAAAGAATTAACGTGAATCGTTTTCTTGAATTTGCCACATTCTTCGGTAAATACTCTTATGCTTTGTCTATCAGTATCGGCGGCTACAAATTCGGGAGCTGCCAAACGTCTATGACCATATCGTCGATTTAACGTATACAAAGTCACGCATACGAAAACTCCTTGAATTCGAATCTCACACATTATGGAGCCACCCTGAAGTGCTTTCAATAAAAACACCGAGGAATAATCAGCAAGAACATTATCCGACGCAGGAAATTTAGACGTATAATTCGAGAACGCTTTGTCACCATCGTCTACCAAGCTCAGACCGGACTTTCCGCCCATGACTACTTGCATCCCGATCCTTTCCAAATAAGTCGAATATTTTTGCAAAAAGTTTTCAACCATATCCTCATACCACTTGAATATCATAACTTTATCCTGTTGTTCAGGTAAAGTTACCGAAGATTCAACCTTTTCTCCAAATAACAACGGCGTTCTACAGAAATGTAAAAGTCGAGAGGTACGGAATATTATCGCTAGATCCGATTTTGCTATTACCTCGTTCGTGTCTGAATGATCTTTGTTTTCTTGATACCTCTTTGCCCATTTCTTGTAAACTTTCTCTGCATTATCATGAGCTTGAGTTATCTTGGCTTGTCTTATACATGTTTCCATAAATGGAGAACCATGTCTCATGAGGGCATCACGACTCACACAAGAAATATCACCTCTAGCCACCTTTTCAACACAAGAATCCTTTAGCACATCGTTCAAATCTAAAGAGGTTAATGAGAATCGATTTGCTTCCAAATCGGTTGAATATGAATTGAACACTTCATTGCACGACTCTAAACTCTTTTTAATGTCCTGCTGTGGAAATCGTTCAAGTATCAGAGAATTTATGTGCATCAAATCTGTTGCCATACTTTGTCCGTTTGATGATATTGCAGCATTTGAACGTTGACCGTTCCCTAGCATCGGAGATTGCAGGAGTCGAGGAGTGTTAGGCAAGCTCTGTGAAAATGGGGTCTGAGGATGTAACTTTAAGGATATATTGCTCGAATGATAAAATAAACCCATCTTTTGGTGAAGAATGTTATTTAATAGTCCTATCCGTTTATTATGCCAATCGGAAATCCTTTTCATGGCGGTAAATACTTGATCGGCATGTTGCTTTACCCAATTATAAATATATACAGATAAATCAAAACCATCAATAGACATTACCAAAAAGCACGAACGAAATAAATCTGGCGTATTGCGATTGGTCTGATCACCATTCGAGATCGTATACATCATTATATCTTCGAGTAAATGACGCTGCTGTGCGGCCACCGACATCAAAGAACTTTTACGTGAATTTGAGTTAGCTTTTTCGTTTGAGATATCTTCGGTCGAACTCCTCCGAGAATGTGACACATCACTCCCAAAACTACCTCTACGATCGTCAGGTAATATAGATTTACATGAACCGTATTTTGTATTCATCTCCTTCAGTCCGGCGATCAATAAGTATTGATGTGGAATAGATATCGAATCATCCGGAGTAAAAATAGAATGTTTTGGTCGATATATTTCATACATTGGGGAAAATGATGCAGGAATAGTTCGAAGTATTATCGGAGTAAAGATGACGTTTAATTCTACCAGAAGCTCATGGACTTCACTTAAGAAATCATCCATCATCCAAGAAGGCATGTCAAGCCTCGCGTGCAATGCATGCAATGCCGGATTTTCTAATTCAATTGCTTTCTTCAAAAGTGCCAAAACTGGTTCAATAAAATTATGTTGAACGTGTGGTTCGACACATTCGATCATACTTTCTGAACTAATGGTGTCATCTCGATCAAAGTTTTGAGCCACTTGAATATTGTTGCTTTCAACACAATCTAAAGAAACCCGTCCCAACCCTTTAGTTATGGATACTTCGATGAAATAGTCACAAAGGCATTGTCGAAAACTTTTTATGATTCTATCAAGTATTATGCTATAATTAAGGGTACCATGGTTCCATAACTCAATTAATATTTGATATGAAGCGTCTATATTATTATCATTCGAATCCTTATTTGAATCAGAAACTACAAACCCTTCATCATTAGATATATATTGTAAAATCTTATTCGAATTTATATCATCTGAATCAACAATTTCAGGGACTAAAAGTTCAAAAGTAGGTCGACCTTGCCGATTCAATAAAGTGAAGCACAGTCCGGCAATCCCTTGACCGACTGATGCTTCAAAAGCAGAGGGAGTGCGGGATTGGCTAATGTAATTATAGAAGAACGTAAATTCATGAAAATGGATATCGTGTGTTGCGGATGGCGTTTTCCTATTTATTCAAGAGAATTCAGTTTGAGAAGGGAAAATATTATCGTTAGGAAATGCGTACGGTATAAAATCTAATCAATGCATACCTCCCACTTTCAGAGATCGATTCCGGGAATTCAACTGATCCATATTTTGAAATATGGTGACGCCATATCGCGTTCGAGACTTCTAGTCCTTGCAAAATGTTAAGGTATAAGGAAATATTTTGCTTAAAGTACACTAAGAAAGCATAAGTATTCCTTATATACGACGGGATCTTTAAAGATAGGCGACGAGGGGTTTCCCGAATAGGAAAAATAAAGTTCACATCCTAGAAAAAAAAAAATAAAAATAAAACAAAAAACGCACAAATAAATAAACATGAAAAGTACGAAAAGTTCGATTGTACGAATTGTATAAAAATTTAACTAACTGCACGAGTCGGATTAACCTTGTACGGGTTACGAGCAAGGAAAGTAGACATCACAGTAAGAGTTATACTTGAATTCAATTTGTTCTCCAACAATGCCATTAGCTCTTCGGTAATTTCTTTGCCTGGAACATCTAAACCAAAAACCTCTACAACTAATTCTCGTGAATCTGCCACTCGAGTTTGAGTTCCATGTTTACGAGAATTTGGGGAAGTATTAGGACTCCCACCACTTTTGCTTGATGGGGATTTTCGTAATTCATCGGCATTCGATTGTAATTCCGAAGACAATGTAAATGAGGAGTTCTGACGTGAAGAATCATCTAAACTTTCATCATCAATATATACCGGAGACGCTTCTACTTCTGATAATTTGAGATAAACGATATTATGATTCTTGGCTATTACAAACATATGTTTCCTGTTAGAAACTACGAATGGATCGAGGATCGAGGATGCGATACCATTAAGCGCTTGGTTCGGTCTTAACCGCCAATGAAGCGGAAATGTTTGTTTATAGACTGATTGACACTCAAACTGTCCTGGTTTGAACTTTTTTGAAACCGTTATGTTTCCATCATTTGGTGCCATTGATAGTACATCCACCAAGTCTCCAGAAGATAAATCACTATCTTCTGAAGATGACTCGGAATCAGAAGAGCCATCAGGTGGAACCAAATATTTGCTAATCGATGAAAGATCAAAAAAAAAAAAAAAAAAAAGAACGATCGATAAATGTACATCGTTTAATATCATGATTTTAGTAATTTAAATAACCCTTACCTGCAACGACGTGTCTCATTTAATTCATCCAATAATATTAATCTATTAATCCTTTCTGAAATTTGTATTATACAATTTCGTACATGTTTGATGATATTGGAACGTTCAATTGCTGAAACCGCTTTTGAATAAAAATACATTTGTATAGAATTTTCCTGTGGAATGAGTAATAACCAAAATAATTGCTTGTGTATAACATTTTTCTTGACAGATGATTTAACGGTTTGATCAGCAGGATCCGGTACGAAATCATTTTCCTCCGGGGAATAAATGCTAATTCCGAGACCTTGACAAAGGTCACCTTCACCACCATCGTCAGTATAATCATCATACGCTTCCTCCTGATTGTTAAATGCTTCTATAGATGAGCTCTCAAAAATATTATTTAGCTCAAATATGGGTGATGTAACGCAGCTATTGTCTACAACAGCCAAGGATTCACCCTTCTCTTCATCTTCACTTATATAAAAGCAATCTTCAACCTGATTTAGTGAAAATGGGGACATATCAGCTTTGCTAAATTCTTTTAAGAATCGGTCCTGTCCTTGTTTACGACGAACAAAGGATAACGGAACACTAAATGTAGTCGGAAAGTCGACGAATGGATTCTTGGGCATCAATTGTTTTTGAATGAATGAAAGGACCGATTTTTCTACAGGTTGTGATCTCAACAGTCCATGCATCATTTCTTCTTTCAATAACCAATCGATTCGATCTCGAGTTTCTGACAAAGCTTCTTTTTTATCGGCAGTAAGTGAATCCAATTGCGGTAGATTTTCAAGTGCACTATAATTTAAATGATCCCATGTGAAAAAAGGGAGGAAAACTTTTTTTTTTAACGAAACAATAAATAATTTCTGAATACCTTGTCTCATTATCACCCACATGGAACCCTGGAGTCATCTCATCGACTCGGGCTAAAGTCAGACATATCAGATGCAAAATAGCGGTAGTACCATCAGAAGATTTAACAGGAGATGTTTCCGTTCCGATTGATTTTGGAGAAAAGTCATGAAATTTGCCATCCACTGTACACAAATAACTTGTTGGTAAACTTGAAATGGGAAATTTCACAGAACTGGATCCTTCTGATTCAATACCCTCAACCTTAAGAGTTGATGCTTTTTTGAAAGTACATTCAAGTCGTAAAAATAAAGGATTTTCTGCATAATTAAAAACGTCTAGAAAAGTTCCAGCGATATCGGCCACATTATCGTGAATATCTTTTGATGAATTATTTGGTTTTTTGAAATTTGGACGATAATAATATATGTTTTGCAATTCATCATTAATGAAATTAGCCGGTTCAAAGTAATGACCAAGCACAGCAACGAATTTTTGATACACGTCATTGGCATCATCGCTAAATGATACGATTTTAATGAGTAAGGATTATTGATAACTATTCATTGTAACATCGAAATATAACGGACACACTAACCTATCTAGTCCTTGCCGAGCAGCCTTTACGTGTACATTGACATATCCTGTGATATCTATATCAACGGAAGTCTCCATGCAAGCATCAATCGCTTTAAGAAAATCGGTTTCTGTAACTCTATGCTTTTGTAAAATACTTGCGTATACAGATTTAACAAATCCGTGTACATATAATTTTGTAATGTTTAAAGTGACTTGAGCAACTTGATCTGAAAGATTCGATTTAAAAGAATTTACAGGATTTTCGGGAAATGAACTACTCAGTAGCTTTGGCTCTAAAGGATTTTTAATTGTATCCGAGGTCTTATGTAATAAAGAGATGGTTTCAAAGGATAGAGTTTGATCTCGACGAAAATCCACCGGCTCTTTTATAAAATCTCTTTGAATAGGTTGAGGTCGTTTACACAAGAAAATTAAGATATTCATGAAACACGGTTTATTACTACTAATCAACCCATTATTTTGTTTCATGGTGTCTAATAAAAGTTTAAAAGAAGGAATAATTACAAGTAGTAAGGAACCAGAATCAACGATTTTGATGAAACATCTGGTATCTCGTAGGTTCCTAATATATTCTATTGTAGACGTAGCCTCCTGAAGAAAATCAATTTTGGAAAGCCCATTATTAATTTCCTTTAATAACGAATCTTTAAGACCGTTGTTATTAGTATCAACTTCACCATCAGCATAGTTACTAAAGGTTTTTTCAACAAAAAGATGTAATAACGCGAAATCTCGATCCAAAGGACCTAAAGGAGCAATAGAATCGCGACTAATAATATAAGTTACATCATGGGTTGAATTATTGGGCAACGAAAGTGACAATTTCTTTTGTGATGCAACCTCCATGTATGGAGAATTTCTATTACTTATGCTACCCTTTCTTAGATAAGGGCTTGATTCGGAAATCAATGGAGACCTTGAATCTCCAAAGCTCGATCTCGGAGTATTTTCATTGCTCATATAGGATGATTTAACAGATTGTAAATGTAAGTGTTGATGAACCTGATTATTAATGATGTTTGATGAAGATTTGAAAGTAGGAATGTCATAATTTGCAATTAGTAATCCGCTGGATCTTAGTAGGACGGGAAGGTTGAATAAACTTGGGAGGTGGGACGATTTTTGAGGGGTCAAATTGTATGAATTCCGAAGATATGAAACGCGTGATTTTGCAATATAATGTATTTGATCGAAAGTCACCAATTGAGATAACTTTTGACGATCCGCTGTTGATATTCTGTCAGCAACAGATTCGTAAAGTTCCCGTAGGAACGGTTGCTGCAAAGGTTCCATCCATAGTTCGGTTAAAATTTCACCGGTATATGGATCCTTATATATATGATGTTGTATGCCGTATAATTTATTTAGATTAGCAGATGAACCTAGGTCGGAATTTCCTCCAAGTTCCAGTTCCCGATAAAATACTTGTTGATTACTATTTTCGGATATCAATAAACATCCTTCATCCAGACGTGCCTGACACAGATGTTGAAAAGCCAAGTCTTGGATTGGCATGTTCTTACTATCCAATGAGAAGATATGTTCAATATCGGACAACCAAGTCCACCGCCAATGTCTTAGGTAAGATTTTACAATGCAGTCTCGACCTGTCACCTGACGATTATCTAATAAAATTTCACTTTCATGACGTCCATTTTCTGGGTACTTAATAAGAAATGAAGATAAGGGTCTCTTACAAACGTAAAATAATTGTCCATCTCCATCTTCGTTTGAATTTAACTCATTAATAAGGTTAATTAAATCTTCCAACGCTTTTTGACGTTGAAATACCTCAACGTTAAAAAATGATAAATTACCGGTAACGAGACTACCTAATTCTTTGTTAAATCTGAGTTCGCAAAAACTTATTGGAAGAATCTTATCACCTTCTAGGGGGTGAAAAGCCTTAACGAACCCTTTTTCAGAAAATGAAAATGATGACCATGCAACTTTCAGTCGTTCTATTAAAGCCGAGTAAGCACTATTATCCGATGGCATTTTCACAGATTTATTAGTAGTTGATTGCTCTCCAGATATCAAAATATCGAATTTGGCCTTATCATACCAAATATTAATATTTTGTCGCATTAAACTTTGTTCAAGTGGATCCCATAATTGCTTTAACAATTCTAATCGGGTAAACGACGAAGAAATACCGTTGCTAATTGCGATTCGATATAAATGATATTTGCTATTTTCCTTAGATACCTTATGGAAAATATGTTTCTTTAGTAACTCATCCGTTTCGTAGATCATTGTCATAAATTTATGTAATCTAATACATTTTAAAAAGAGTGGATGGCTTGGATCATTATTTTGCTGAGCTGTTTGAAAGTTAAGTAAATATATTGCTAATACAGTATCAGCTACAACGTTAATCTCAATCCTTGGTGATTTTAATCTTGAAAATCCGTTCACTTCCCCCATCCAGGATGCTTTAATTTTATATTGAATTATAACGTTTGGTAACCAAAGACGTGACATTGTGATATGAACCTTTTCTGCCTTGTTGGTGTTTCTACCTACTAAGATTACACTCTCAATATTAAACCCATTACGTATCCGAGCAAATATCAGTTGCATCACATCAATTGAAAGAGAGTACTCTCGATATCGCGTTGACATTGCTTCAACTGCTGGTGGTAGACTTCTTGGATCTGGATCCCATGGAAAATTATAAGTCCGTTCCCCAGAGTTAACGGTGTTGTTTGAATAGGAGGTATGACCCTTCCTTTTGGTAAAATAGGTTTCCTTCATCAACAAGTTTATATGATAAAAATTTGGTGGGACCAAGTCTTCACGTGATAAATGAAATTTGGAGGATTTAACATTCCGCACATTTGGACAATCCTCGGAATAAAGAAATTTGCCTGATGTTGCTGTGGCAACAAATTTTAATATTTCATTATCAGGAAGAAACCCGAAATTACATCCAGGATTACCTCCCTCAAGCGGTCCTACTTGAATAATATTGCATTTAATACTTTCCTTACAAAGCACTTGAATGATATCATCGTCAGGTGACATCTGGGCTAGATTTGATTTAACAACACCATCCGTAATCACCATCAGCGCGGGGGATCCTTCTTTTGGCAATAAATTTATAGCTAATAAACCAGCATTTAGACTGTAAGCAAGATTACCCCCACTCGACCCCAACCGCCATAAATTTTTCTCATCTAGATATGACGTATTAGAACCTAGTTCATGCTCAAGCAAATCGGTTTTGGGACCAGTAACATCCATAACGTAGGCAACAGGAAATTTGTTCCTACGAAGTTTTTGTCGAAACTCGGCAACTTCATGTTGAAAGCGAATAAACTCTGAGTGTAAATTATCAAGTATATCGAAGATATTATTTCGATTAACTACAACTCCTTGTATAAGAACCCTCATCGTAGGAAATTCAGCCAACATAGGAATAAGATTTGCGTTTGATGCAAAATTGGAGCATTCAGCAATAATGGTAACTGATATTTCGGGTTCAAACTACGTACGACATATGATTTATTAATTTTGGGAATATTACAAAATCCATCAACAGAATTGTATAATCTTATGCAATACCTGTAAGGCTCGATCCTTATCCAAATCCTGAATTATGAAAGGCTGTACTAGGCCTTCAAGACAACGATGAGTACTACAGCATAATAAATTTACTTATTAAACACAAGTCAAAAAAAAAAAAAAAAATTTCATGCCATAATTAGATAATCAAACCTTTTTCTTACATTTGCATCACTTTAGACATTATTGTATTTTTAGCACCGCTACAATCGATGGTAGCTAAAGAGGAGGTTACATCCAAAAGGAATACGAATCGATATTTTGTACTTAAAGTGATTATACGAGAATGGGGCATGAGTCTGTATTGTTTATCCGTTGAATGCTGAAGATCCGGTAAATTTTGCGGCGTATATATCTCGCTTGCTTCCTTCTCATTTTGACTTTGTATTAAAGCCGTTAAACGCGTATCCGATATATGAAGCACTTGAAAGTTCTATTGTATGATAAAAGTTTTCAGGATTACAGACTGAAAATTAATCAGAAATATCAAATTATTCTTAGTTTGCTATATTTACATACATCGTCACTTTCTAGAAGTAGAGGTTGATATAAGCGTATAAGAAGCCATTTATAGTGATCTACTTTTGAAAAATTTGACGCGTTCTTTACAAGTAAAATCACAGTTTTCGCCTCTGTATTCTTGTTCATATAAAATTGTTTAACGCGTAAGTCAAAACTAGATTATATGAAAATTTTTTGCATTCAAGCACAAGTAAATAAATAACCTGTGCGCCGTTTGTTTTCTGATGTGGAGACAACATTTTTTTTTGAAATTCGACGAACTATTGTAGTTAGGAGAGCATCATTTATAATATGATATCATTGATTATCTAATGTTTGTATCATGTAATAATGTTTGGTAATTAACTAACACGTGATGCATACTTTAAAAAATTTATTTGAGATTTTACGTTACGAGGTATTATTTTAAGGACGATTACAAGGTGAGATATAATTAAACCACATTTATTAAATCCGTCATGTTTGAAATATTGATGTATCTCACTAATATTTTGTATATGATTTGATTGTTCCTTAGGAAAGGACAATCGCGTGGCTTGATAGTTGCGAATGAAGTTTCGTGATCATATGAAAATTTCCTCAAGAGAAATATTGCCATACATAAATACAGTATATGGAGTCAATAAATACAAGAATAAAAATTTGCATATTACATAAGTTTATTAAAATTAATTATTATTCTAATCTAAAACCCTTGCCTTGCCATATTAAGTAAAGAAGAAGCGAAAGATGATGTTGAAGAAGTAGATTGTGTACTCGATTTTGAAGTAGAAGATTGCATACCAACAGCTAAATCACTATCAGTTTCCGATTCTTTTAACTTATTAATATCATCAATATAAAGTTCCGCATCTTTCATTAATTTTTCTACATTCAATTTTGATAAAGCTCTCTCTCTAACTTCTTTGTATCTAGGATCTGATGAAACCGTGTTATCATCCATCTCGACTTTCTTATAAAATTCGGTAAATAATCTTCTTAAATTAGAATCTTTTAATACACTTGTACGTTGAATGCTCAAAGCCTTACTTCTGTAAATTATTGATTCTAATTTCCTCGTTAGATCGTTTAATACTTCCATATTACTTCTCTCTTCAATTTTATCAAAGAATATTATCGCTAATGATAATGCGGAAAATGCTAATCTCCTATAAAAGTATATCGAACAATAAAGAAATTCTATATTCCCATCACTATCAAGTTTAGAATAGTCGACCGAAGCGAACATGAATAATTCAACCATTCCACAACCTACTAACCAAATTACTCCATAAGTTCTCCAATGTGATTTACGTTTCAAAGTTGTCGCAACCCCAAGTACAATCGCCATTATAACATAAGACCAAGCGATATTAGGTACGATATATATGAAATAATCGGTTAAATCATAACAATATGAACAATCGACAAGTGCTTCTTCCCCGAAAGTCGCATATATTAATCTATTTTCATAAGATTCAAATTTTTTTAATAAAATTTGTTCATTATCACCAATAGTTCTGTTATTTTCTGTTAAGATCGTTGTTAATATCTTTGTTGATGTCTTCAATGATACTCCTGTATCCTTGAATATATTTGGTGGTTTTACCCAGATCGCATATATAAGTTGCAAGATAATATTACTTGTTAATAAGAGTATTATCAAATAATCAAATCTTGTATTATTTCGTATGGGTTTGGGTTTGGGTTTTTGTAGATTAAACGCTCTGTGTTTCATAAAATCACGTCCCTTTTCTATAATAAATGGGAGCGTTATAAGCACTAGTAACCTAATTAACTCTGAAGAAAACATTTTTTGGTTTTTTTTTAAAATGTTAGAAAGTTTTTTTTAATGAGAATTTATTTATTATTTATTTATTTATTTATTTTTTTTTTTTGATGCATTATGTATGACGAATAATATTATTTAATTGATTAAATGATGATCTATTAACCCTAAAAAGCTCCTTTTAAATTTAAATTTTTTTTTCAAGTCAAAGGTCAAAAGATGTTCGGAGCATTTAGAGCAACCATGGTAGCGTGTGGTGGTTTATTATGGTACTAATTTTAATTTAATTTATTTTTTCATTTTACAAATGAATATACTACTTTATTCGAACTTCTTTTTATAAACCGATAGGAAAAATCCTTCAAACATGAGTAGAACGCGTAAAGCTAATGTACGTAAACGGTTAAGAGCTGTAGATACTGTCATTGAAGCTTTGTCGAAATCAGGCGTTAAATGTAAAGCTTTGGTATGTCAAATATCTTTTTTTTATTTTTATTTTTTATTTTTATACCTTTGATTTCTAATAATCATTAGGTTCTATAGGATTACGCTCGTTCATTACCTAAAGAATCAGAAATGACACCTCGTGACAAATATACTGTCTTTAGTAGAAAACATAAAGGCTATAGAAAATCTTTACATAAAGTACCAAAATTCACCAAAGTTACCATAAGAACAACACCTCCTGGTTTTTAACATAAGGATTGGGTCATTTTCGCTTATAAATTTTCGAATGGTTTAAAAGTAACACTTTGATGAAAATTTTGTTTGTCTTTGTTCATAAAATAATGCGTAAAAATAAATATGAATAGTTCCCGAATAAATTATAAATAAATAATAAATTCTAAGTATAAATTGATTGCTAAATCGTATCTTGATATGCTATAATAATAAATCGAAGTATCAAAGGAGATAGTAAGATAATAATTCTATTCTTGTCGTTAATACTTTGTATTATTGATGCTTTTGGTCTTCTTTAGTCCTCCTTTCAACATCGCGTACCAATGGCATAATATTCAATATATTTCTTATTGAAAATCTTCTAACGATTTTGATCCCCAATATGTAGTTTGTATGAAAATTAATTATAAGTAATATACTATAGAATTATTAATTTTATTAGTTATAATTTTGGAAATTAGTTTTAAATCCTTGCGATATCTGAAATGGTTGATAAAAGGTATTTTTTTTTTATTGTTACAGTATTATAATTGTATTTTCTTATCAATAGCATAAATGTAATTGTTAATTAATTAAATAAAACAATTCGTATTTATGAGTATATTATTCTATAAGTTTTTAAAAAATAAAATTTGTTAAAATAAATAAAGTTACCTTTATTTGTGATTTCTTATAATTGGGTTTTTCATTTTTGCTAAAAGAATCTAGTATAAATAATAAGAACGAAAATAATAATAACTTTAATATTATAAAATCATATGATAATATTATTATTGTTTATTATTGTTTATTAATTATTATTGTCTAATTCATAATGAAATTAACTGATTATGTATTATTATAAATTAATAATAACTTATATAATTTTATTTTATATATTAATAAATAAATACAAAAAATTTCAAAATAATATACAGTACACATACAGTAAATTTCATTATAAAATATTAATTAACTTTATGAATATTCACTTAAGTTTTAATATTTAAATATTATTATATTTAAAAAAAAAAATCTTTACTTATTTAACAAAAGCTAGTTTTATTTGATTAAAGTTTTAAATTACACTATACAAAAATATATAAATATTATTTTCATTATTTTATCACATTTTTTTAATAAAGGTTATTTATCATAAATAATTAATTAAATTTCTCTAAAGTTAGTAATTTATTAAATAGCAAAGATCAGTTAAAAATAGCTTAACATCCTAACTTTTATTTTTAAAATAAAAAAATGATAAAAATCACTATTTTTATTATATCAAAAATAAAACTAATATATTTTCTAGTATTTTTTATTAAATTAAAAATTTTTTTATTTAATTTTTTTAATAAATACTTTTTCAATTATATTATTATATATAATTATCCAAATAATTCAAAAATTAAAATATAGTATCTGCTAAATACAGTGATAATGGAAAAAACTGACAATTTTTTTATAACTTAATAATTTCATGAGTTTTGTATCTAGAAACATAAATTTAGTATTATTAGATTCATCTCAATAAAATGAATTTAATGAGCTATAATTCATTTTTCTATGATTACTAGAAATAATAAAATATCATAAAATGTCATGTGTAATGAATGTCAATAAACACTACTAATTTATTTAGTACTTTATCTCATAATTATATAAGCTTTGCATTTAAAGATATGAATTTATTATCAATCAATTTATCTTAATGAGACAATTCTAATGAGCTATATTTTATTTTCATATAATCATTAAATACAGTACAATGTAGAAAATATATAAAAGATTATTAAAAAAATATATTTTTTTAAATATATTTTTTTTTAAAATCTATTTTGAAATGCATATAATTAATAATAAAAAAATTAATATTATATAATAGATTATTAAATAATTATTATATCTTAAAATGTATGTTATAAGGTATAATATATTAAATTTTAAGGTTTTTAATAAAAATCACATGAGATATTTCCTATTGTTTAATTATCAGTTTTTCCATTATCACTGTAGTTAATTATATCATTTATTTATAATATTTATAAATGCATTTTTATAGATATATAATTTTAATAAAAATATAATAATTTATAT